TTGACCCCTCCACTGGACCTTTAATATAGAAATCTTCTTAGTCCTCAACTGGCGAACATGCTAGTCAACAATGGCAATTGGCTCCTCCTCATAACCCAAACTCTCATCTAGGTGAACTGTGTTATAAGCTAACACATGCGACATGTCGGCATGGTACTTTCGGAGCATAGACACATAGATGACCGGATGAACTCCCAATAGACTGGGAGGCAAAGCAAGGTCATAAGCAACCTCCCAAACTCGTCTCAACACCTCAAATGGGCCAATAAATCTCGGACTCAGCTTGCCCTTCTTTCCGAACCTCATGATACACTTCATCGGCAAGACTTTCAATAGATCCTTCTCGCCCACCATAAATGATAAATCATGCGCCTTCTAATCCTGGTAACTCTTGTATCTAGACTGTGTTGTGCGAAGTCGCTCCTGAATCAACATTACATTATTCTCCAAGGCATCTTTTACTAAATCAGTGCCATATAACCTAGCATCGCCGGGCTCAAACCATCCGATGGGCGAACGACATAGCCAACCATATTAAGCCTCAAATGGAGCCATCTCGATGTTGTACTAATAACTGTTGTTATAACAAAACTCGGCCAAGGGCAAGAATTTTCCCACTGCCCTCCAAATTCAATCACATACGCTCTGAGCATATCCTCCAGAATCTGAACTGTCCGCTCTGTCTTCCCGTTGGTTTGCGGATGGAAGGATGTGTTGAGCTCTACCCGAGTGCCCAACTTACTCTGTACCGCTCTCAAGAAATGCAAAGTGAATTGATGGCCTCTATCTGAAATGATGGATACAAGCAAACCATGTAACTAGACAATCTCTTGAATGTAAATCTGGGCCAATCTCTCTGAAGAGTACGTAGTCACAGCTGGAATAAAGTGTGTCGACTTGGTCAGCGTGTCGACAATGACCCAAACGGCATCAAACTTCCTCAACGCCCGCAGCAACCCAACTACGAAGTCCATAGTGATGCGCTCCCATTTTCACTCCGGTATAACCGTCTGCTGAAATAGGCCACCTGGCCTTTGGTGCTCATACTTAACTTGCTAGCAATTTAGACATCTCGCTACATATTCAACTATGTCCTTCTTCATCCGCCTCCAACAATAATGCTGCCTCAGGTCGCAATACATCTTTGTAGCACCTAGATGAATAGAATACCGAGAATTGTATGCCTCCTCTAGAATATTCTCCCTCAAGTCATCAACATTAACATAGGCGACCCTGAAGTCGCAGAACTCCATCCTCACCGATAGTAACCTCCTTGGCACCACCCTATGGTGCGGATCATCGTACTGATGAGCCTTGATCCGCTCAAATAGTGAAGACTAAGCTAAAACACATGCATAAACTCGACTAGGCTCTGAAATATCCAACCTCAAAGGTCTGTTAGCCATGGACTGAATCTCCAAAGCCAATGGCCTCTCCTCTGCCGAAATGAATGCCAAACCACCCATACTCTCTGCCTTTATGCTTAAGGCATCCGCAACAACATTCGCCTTCCCCAGATGATAAAGGATGGTAATATCATAGTCCTTCAGTAACTCAATCCACCTATGCTACCTCAAATTAAGATCCATCTACTTAAACAAATGTTGCAAGCTATGATGATCAGTGTAAACCTCATAGGACACCCCTTAAAGATAATGCGTCCAGATCTTGAGAGCATGAATGTACAAGGTAATTCTTCTCATGGAACTTCAGTTGATGGGAAGCATATGCAATAACTCGCGCCTCCTGCATCAATACACAACCCGATCCAACGCACGAAGCATAAAAATAAACAGTATACATCCCTGAACCGGAGGAAAACACTAACACCAGTGATGTAGTCAATGCGGTCTTGATCTTCTGAAAGCTCGCCTCGCAATCATCGGACCATCTGAACGAAGAACCCTTCTGGGTCAATCTAGTCAAAGGTGCCTCAATTGATGAGAAGCCCTTCATGAACCGATAATAATAACCTGCTAACCCCAAGAAGCTACTAATCTCGGTCGCTGTGGTAGGACGAGGCCAACTCTGGACTGGCTCGATCTTTATGGGATCTACCTTAATACCCTCACTTGATACAACATGTCCCAAGAATGCCATAGAATCTAACCAAAACTCGCACTTGGAGAACTTAGCATATGGCGTATGTTCCCGCAAGGTCTAAACACAACTCTCAAATGAAGCTTGTGCTCCTTCATACTACAAGAGTAGATCAATATTCCATCAATAAAGACAATGACAAATGAGTAAAGATATGGTCTAAACACCCGGTTCATCAAATCCATAAATGATGTTGGGACGTTGGTCAAGCTGAAGGACATCACTAGAAACTCATAATGCCCATGCCTAGACCAGAAAGCCGTCTTCGGAAAATCAAAAGTATGAATCTTCGGCTGATGCCCAGATCTCAAGTTTATCTTAGGGAACACCCTGGCACCATGAAACGGGTCAAGCAAATCATCAATGTGCGACAATGGGTACTTAATCTTAATGGTAACTTTGTTCAACTGGCGGTAATCAATATGCACATCCGCATACTCCCATCCTTCTTTTGCACAAATAATACCGGTGCACCCCAAGGCGACACTCGGCCTGATGAGCCCCTTCATGAGCAACTCCTCAAGTTGTTCCTTCAACTCCTTCAACTCTTTCAGAGCCATGTGGTACGGTGGAATAAAGATAGGCTAGGCACCTAGCGCTAAATCAATGCTGAAATGGATATCATGATCAGGTGGCATACCTGGTAGATCAGAAGGAAACACATCAGACAACTCGCGCACCACGGGCACTGAACCAATCGCTGGGGTCTCTGTAAAAGTATCCCGAACATAAACCAGATAAGCCAAACAACCCTTCTCGACCATATGTCGAGCCTTCAAGAAAGAGATAACCCGGCTAGTTGTATTGATAGATGAACCCCTCCACTCCAATCTAGGCAACTCTAGCATCGCCAAGGTAACAATCTTGGCATGGCAATCAAGAACGTCATGGTACAGGGACAACCAGTTCATGCCTAGGTTGACCCCAAAGTTGGTCATATCAAGCAACAGAAGGTTCGCTCAGGTCTTATAGCCAAAGAAAGTCACAATACAAGACCGGTAAACCCAATCCACAATAATAGAATCGCCTATTGGCGTGGACACATATACAGGAGAAGCCAAGGACTCACGAGAGACACCCAAATAATGAGAAAATAGAGATGAAACATACAAATATGTAGACCTTGGATCAAATAGTACCAAAGCATCCCTACCACAGACAGAAATAATATTTATGATCACGGCGTCTGAGGCTACTGTATCTGGTCCAGCTGGGAAGGCATAGAACCTAGTTGGAGCGCCACCTGGCTGGCCTCCACATCTAGGGCGACCCCTACCCACCTGCCCTCCGCCTCTGGTCGACCGGACGACTGGTGCGGTGATCATGGGCTGATGGCCCTACTGTATTGCCTAGCCCCGAAGACTGGGGCAAAATATCCTCATATGATCAAGCTTCCCGCACTCATAGCAACCTCTCGGTGCGGAAGATGAATGACCCTGGGTCTGACCCTAGGGACCTGAACACCCACTGGAAGAAACCTAAATAGCCAGTAGACGGTAGGAGCTCTCTGGAATGGCGCTAAAATAGGGACGCACTGGAGCACCCTGGGAAGGCGGTGGTGCTGAATATGTGGTCCTGCTAGACTGGCCCCTCACAAACTAACCTTTGCCCCCAGATGGAGCACCATTGAACCCTTCACAATATCAAGGTCTCTTGTCCATCGGTGCATGCTCTCGGACCTGCTGACGGATACCCTCGATCCTTGAGCTATCTCCACAACCTGTTCGTAAGGAGTCCCCATCTCAATCTCTCGGTCCATAGTAACTTGGATAGCATTGTTCAAGCATGCAATAAACCTTCGTACTCTCTCTGCATCGGTGAAGAGTATCATAAGTGCACGGCGAGACAACTTAGAGAATATCACCTAATAATCAGTTACAGACATCTGACCTTGCTAGAGCCACTCGAATTGACCCCGTAGCTCTTCCCTCTGAGAGGGTGGAATTTATCTCTCAAGAAAGAGACGTGTGAACTGGTCCCAAGTCAAGGGAGGCGAACATGTTGGTCCGCTAAGGAGATAGGACTACCACCATCTACGGACCCTGTCCTCCAACTGAAATGTTGTGAAGTCCACCCCGTGGGACTCAAATACTCCCATGTTGCGCAGTCAGTCTCTGCAATGATCAATAAAGTCATAGGGGTCCTCATCTGGCAAAGGCAGGAGGATGTAGCCTGGTCCTCCTATCCAATAGCTTTTGTGGCTCGCAGGTCGCATGAGCGATTTGGCACTACAGTACATGTCTAGAAGAATAATTGATTTAGAACAGATAGATTCGAGTAAAAAGAAAAAAAACTAAAATTTATAATTCAACTAGTATTCACAGGTCGATCATTGCACTTACCTTGAAGATATCGAGTATAATTATGAGTACAATATTATACATGAACTTGAATCCATCTCTTTCGAGGATGAGGGTCCAAATAAGCAATTATGTAATGCAAAGTTTCTAGGGTATCAAAAGTGAATCCTTTCCGCATGTATTTCTATATTAAGTTTTTGTACAATTTTAATAGGTTTAAAATATGGCGTAATGGCTTCGTGGCCACTTAAACTTGTAGGGCTTTTGAAAGCCGATACACAAACTTTGAATTTTTTCATTTGAACACTCAAACTTGACATAATAAGTACTAATAAATACTTTTGACCGTTGACCATGCCTATGTGGAAGCACTGTAGCTGATATGGCTAAACTGTGTGCAAATCACCTTGCCAAGGCGCGTGAATGGTATTGTTTTTACTTAAAAAATTAGAATTAGAATAAAATATAAATAAAAAAGAAAAATAAAAAAGAAAAAAAGACCTCCCCTGCATTGGCCGTTGGATGTGATTCTAACTCATGTATTCATAAAATTGCCTGAATCCATTTCTTAAAGAGCAGCAGCAATTCTTTGGCCATTGAATTCTTGCTTATCCCATTTTATTAACTACGGAAACCAATTGTATAATAGTGCTAACATTGTATTGTCTGGAGTATTCTCAGAAGCAACAAATTGCAAATACAACTCATTGAACTTCAGCAACTTTCTTTACCTAAAAATAAAGTCATTTCTTCATTTACTTCTCGGATGAGTTCGGGCGCCTCTTCTTCCCGAAATCAACAACTGCTGTGACGAATTTGCGGTTGTATTGCATCCTCTTGTGAGCACGGCCGCGAAGCTTCTTCTTCTTGTCCTGTTTAGCAACTTTTGGAGTTTGTCCCCTCACTTTACCAGCACGAGCAAGTGATCCGTGAACTTTCCCCATGGTGATATCTAAGTCGCCGTTCGCCGGAGAAGTTAGGAGCGTCTGAAGCTGCTCGTACAGATTAATATTGGGTATGTTTCAGGATTTTTTTTTCTTTCATTTTTGTATTTAAAAATGAGACCCACAAATAATACATGACAAGTAATAAATAGCTTAACATGATGTATTGTACATGTCAGCGCAATTGATAAACACGCTCTGGCAGATGTGTTTATTAGTACTCATTTTATCACGTTGGAGTGTTCAAATGGGAAAATTCAAAGTTTGTGTATCGGCTTTCAAAAACTCTACAAGTTTAAGTGGCCAGAAAGCCATTACGCCAAATAATAATGTGTTTATTAGTACTCATTTTGTCAAATTTGAGTGTTCAAATGAAAAAATTCAAAGTTCGTGAATCGGCTTTCAAAAGCTCTACAAGTTTAAGTTGCCAGAAGCCATTATGCCTTAAAATATTATAGCTCCTCGCAGATGACACAAGTTATTTATCAGTATGAATTACAGATAATTACTATGATATTAATTTGGGTCTACCCCACCATGTGCGAAGTAGGAGAAATTAGATTTTACGTCATGAGTCGCCCGTGAAGAGAAGATAAGTTAAAGTAGCTAAGGGAAGTTATCACAACGTCAACCCTCTGAACAAAAGTGTATAAGATATCGGGTGAAACTCACTAAAGATTAACTTCTCCATTAAAAGAAACTTGCTCTCTTCTTCTCTATTAACCGAGAAAATATTTCTGTCTTTTTCTCCTATAAACACACATTGAAAGACATTTAGTTCGTGAACCGAACTTCGTTTCCTAACAATTGAAGTGCGACTTCGACTACTATCTTAATGCTAATAACTCTTCCGCTAGACTAATAGATACACAGTCGTTGTTCTAGTCCTACAATTTAATCAGACGTTAATATTATTTATGTTGTCAAAGAAATATGTATGTACGCATTTGAGACAAAATCCACACGTTCTACTGCTAACAAGGCAATTGTGAATTTCACGGAAACATTTCCCTCACATACCCGAAAGATAAAATTCTGTCGCAAGCTAGGATTTAATATGCGTTAGACAAGGAATCTTTCATCTTGAAAGAAAAAGGAGTAAGAACATTGCCAAGCATCATGGCGAGGACGAAGTCCCACCTCAAAGCTCCACAGAATAAACTTCCCTCAGCCGAGGGGAGGGAATTGATAAATCACAAACACGAAATTGAACATCGACGGATAGCTAATGCTTTGCCAAATGACCCATATATTATATGACATAACACCTAAAAGTGCAAACTTCGCCAAGTTTAATAATGAGCTGAAATTTATTATGCTCAGTTCAAAGTCTTCCCTCTAACGTAAAGCCCTCAATGGACTTAATATCCCCCTCTTCTGGACGAGTCACTGCTCGAGTCCTCAACAACCTCATAACCTCTGACTCAACCATACGATAATCTCCTTCATAATTTCTTCTCTCTCAGGTTCAAAGAGCAGGTCATGCAGTAACCCATCGTACAGCTTGATGTTTTTGTCGGTGGAAAGAGCCTCTGCATAGAGTTTCTTAGAGGCTTCTGGATCAGTTACTGCATCATCTGTGCCATGAAGAACCAGGAATGGCATTGTGAAGCTGCTCAGCTTCTGTTGCAAGTAGGCAGTGATCCGGAGGATCTCGTAACCAGTTCTCACCCTAATGGCTCCAGTGAATACTAATGGATCTGAGTATTTGGCCAATAAAACATTTGGATCCCTAGATACTGTCACACCCTCCTTGTTTGCCGCACTGAATTGAAACCTTGGCATCAGAAAAGAGACAACTGGAGCAAGTGCCTATATAAAAAACGTATCTTCTAAAATAGTAAGGCTCGAAACAAAATATTAACCTCCACATTATGTCCATGCTTAGTGGAAAATGGAGGTACATCCGCAGAAATTGACTTAAAACGAACACTTACAGTGAAAATTGGATGAGCTGGTTGTACTCCCACAGCAGGTGAAGTCAGTACAACACCAGATATCCTTGCACTCACTTTCGGATCAAGTGATGCCTGCATGGCAATAAAGGGAAGTCAAACACAGTCTTCGCTACGAAGTTACAGTTATAAAACAGTAAACAATCCTATAACACAACAGTACCTTAAGGACGAGGGCTGCACCAGTGGAATGTCCAAAGCAAAAACATTTAAGTCCTCTATTTTCAGCTAAAATTTTTGACAGAAACTGCTTCTGCACCAAATCGAAGAAAAGTCGGTAAGCACCACTTCTACCTCAAAATATTGTCTCTCGCTTAACCACATTATGAATAAAACTTGTCGTACCATGTCACTAACAGCATCATCAAGTGAAGGAACGTATGCATGTAACCCATCACTTCCACCGTGTCCTGCACAAACTTTAAACTTTAGAAGGCAAAATCTCAAAATATTCGGAAAGAACCAAAACTGAATAGAACTATTATTCACTACTGAAATAAATCAACCAATATGACAATTGTTCATAAAAGAAAGAGACATAGCAAAGTTCAAATACGCTTAAAGGTGCCAAAAAACCTACATTGAAAAATCAAGAAGAAACCAAAAGTTGAAGCAAAGAAAAAGGCAAAGATTATGTGGGGTATGTATGGGAAAAAGAAATGTATATGTACGGAGCCAAATAGTCAATGTATTTAGCTTTGCATTGTCATTATCTATGCTTACGCCAACTTCAGTTTAGCTTACGTGTGATAACTAAGGAAAGCCATTCACCTAGGCTAAAACCTAATTGATGTGCAAGCAAGCTTGGGCCTTGATCACACGATCTGACTGCATAGAGGTAGCACATAATATGACTGCAGACTGGCGGCAGCAAAACTATCAAATACAATACTGAAGCATATTGCAGTACTGGGACTTGAACTGTGCCTTTATTAATTCAAAAACAAAAAGTTTGGGAACTTCTATTCAATTTAATGGCTTAGGTTCAGCGTTTTCAGAAATCCACTTCCTCTGTCTGTCATTCCTTTACGCACAAAGGCAGATGCAAAAAATTCAGGTCGATAGGCTTACTATGAGAAGGAGCTTCCCCTGTTAAATTTTCTCACAACTGGAATCCTGGTTGGGAAATATTCAACTCCTGCAACATGCAAATGTAGGTGCATAGTTGAGGACTGTGACTGCTAGACCATAATAACAGCAACTAAACAATTAGTTTTCATTTCCCCTCTGAAGATTGATATAACAAATGAATATCAGAATTGCAGAACTGAGAAAGGGGCCTGCTCTGGTCTACTATTACTATTGCTAGATAGCCTACCAAAGTTAGATTTCTCCAAGAAGAGAGGTAGAAACCATGTGTTAACTAGTTTGTTATTTAATAAATCGCACTCGGATGACATCCTGACATCGATGTGTTTCCTCTTATCCTTTTTATAAAGCCCAGTGTATGAAAATCAAAGTATCTGCGAGAATGATAACAGTATCAAGGATAATGATATAATAACTAGAACTTGAAAGACCACAAAGAGAATCCAATAATGAGATTTCTATCTTTACATGTTGATAGTCCTAACTGAAACATCTACCCAAGAGTTCATAGCCAGACTACTGATGAATGATGCTTGAGATTATCACAGTTCTTACATAGGGATGACAGGAAGGCTCTTTATTTAAACATCACTCCATCTACCACTTCCTCTTTCTATGCGGATGAGTACACCGCATAATACTCTCCTATCCCTTCTCCTTTCTTTTCAACCATGGATGTAAAACGTACAGCTAAAACCATGGATAATAGAGAAAGCAACTAAAGATCTCGTATCAATGAGTTTCATCAGGTTAGAGAGAATCAGATTAGAACATAGTCAACAAATACATGAAGAATTTAGCTTTCTAGATGAAGTATAAAATATGGTTCAAGGTAATTTAGTAGAAGTACAAAAAAAAAAATCGACACAGGGGAGAACTAACTTAAAAATGAATATCAGAAACCTTAACAAGAGTATCTTGTTAGAGTCTAGATGATTACAAATGACAAAATCTTAAAGAAGAGAAGAGCCTTCAGACTCGGACTTGAATGACGTAGATCGAAAAACATGAGTAAGTTTCAGGTAGTGATGGAAACTAACATTATACACAATCTGGCTCAAGGGACAGAGACGAAAAAGAGGTACAAGTGGCCTAATTAACAATAAGGCTCATTGAGAACTATCCAGAAGGAAAGAAAAAGGAGAACAGAAAGAGAATATAACTGAGATTGGAACACACATCAAGAGTACCTATTAGAATCCATTTATAGACATGGAAAAGAAATAAACAGAGGCAAGATACCAGAATCAATGAATTACCACAAAGGAAAAAAGAGGGGGGGGGGGGGGGGGGGGGAGTTTTTCCAAGCCAGGGTATACTAATAATCTAATTGCACTAAGGCAGAACTTACCAATCCAATCCATTCCATAAACTTTAAGGCCACTTGCATTCAGCTTCTTGGCAAAGTCATTATACCTGCCACTGTAGCAGAAAGAATGTCGGGTGTCTCTAACATGATGAACAGAAAAATCAAAGTGGAAACCACAATAGTTCTTCAAAGGCTAGTATATAAACCTGTGTTCATTCAGGCCATGTAATATAAAAACCAATCCCCTACACAAGGTAAACAACATTGTTAACTCTACTGTTCCTTCTATCGAAAAGTTTGAAACTTTGATACAGGACTTGTACAAATCTGCAAAATAATAAATAACAAACTGCTTTCATACAGTCTAATATTTTTATGTATTTGACATAGATAAAAACTCTTAAAAGAATTTATTGATGGTGATGGGAATTGCACTGGGGTCATGAAAGGTAACTTTGCAGCTAGTCCTAACAGGCTTTCAAATCTTGAAGTGACAGTGGGTCGAGAATACATTCTTCTCCACCTCATTTCGGTTGTTGCAGTGAAGAAGCGCCAATAAAAGAACATGCCATCTCGAACTTACTAAAGGGAAGAAAAATTGAAGTCGGCTGCTAAATTATTTGTTAGCTCAAATTATTTACAACATAATTACCCCACATAGATGTAAATAAAACTAAAAGTTCTAGTCCATCCAATCAGAAAATAAGTTGTCACAGCAATTGAATAAGGTAATGCAGTAGTATTTTTGCCAATACTTTCTTGAAATACTCGGTAATTACTTTTCCTTATGAAGTAATTTTCTATTGCAGTAGCATCCTATCCATAAGCCAAAAACAAGTACAAAAACACAAGTCAACCCTCAAATGAAATCTCTACACTCTCTTAAACATCACAACAAGGTATTCGCTACAGATTTAGCTAACTAATATACAATGATATACTGTTGTAATATAACCCGTACGTGTTATAGCAATTACATGTCTTATTTTTTAACCTAGTAGTTTCACATATTATAGACAATTTCCTATAGTTATATTGTCTTTAGGCGAGTATAAAAGTTCTTTTGGATACTGCCCAAACACAGAAATTGAACTCATTGGCTACATTAGAAGGTTCATTGCATTAATGGGCAAAAAATGGAAACGTAAAACGAAATATATCAAACATCCTAAGACTTCCCACAAAAAATTAGATAGATGAGGTAACTTGAACTAATTATTAGTCAAAGGAAAAGATTGCTTGATCATTTGGAAAGCTGTAGTAGTAATTAATTAATTAATCAGATACCTGACTTTGGTGGTAGCTGGCGTCCATGACTGGGTGAACATGGTGTCTCCTCTTGACGTACCAAAACATGAAAATTCCCTCACCGTCTCCTTATCATCATCCTGAAGCACTCGCCTTATCGCCAAGGCTCTCCTCGCCGCCACTTCCTGATCTACCAGGCTCTTCCACGGCACCATTTTCGCTGGCACTCGCAAGAAAGTCCCCTTCCTTTCCACCATCTTAACCTTTTCGGCCTCCTTCTCGTTGCTCTTCTCTTGCGCCATTCGCCTCCGCCCACGAAATGGCAGCAGAAATAGAAGCAAGAATGCATTGAGCAGCAGCCATAAACTCCTCAACACGCGCAATGAGAACAGTGCACTCACTCTCCCGCTTGCCCCTGAAGTCAGCATTATCGTTGCTTCGTTCGCCTTCCCTACCTCAACCGCCATTGCTTCTTTTGCTACAGGTTATAATAATTTCAGCTCTGATCAATATTTCTCAAGATGGAGATGCAAATTTGGCTTTGTGTTTGTATTGATATTTGCTCCACAATGGGGTTTAATTCTTGCAGTATAACAGTTCGTAAATTATCAAGCGGATCATATAATGGGATATTTGTCGTTGCACCCAAAAAAAAAAGTTCAGCTTTCTAGGAAAGAGAAATTGTGGTTTATCCAACGTTAATGGTTATGATAAGGTTTGATTATATGATAAAACTTTAGGAATGCGTAAGTTTTCTTGGCTTTTGTTCGCTCTCTGCAAATAAATTGGAAAATCTTGGTGTGGAGAAATTAAAAGGTTTGAAAGAATTAGAATAGAGACGGTGTGTCACGCAATGTGATAGTACAGCCACGTGTCATCTAACTAAACGTTTTAATATGCTGCGATTTGATTTGTTTCTGGTTGGTTGGTTCAGTGTTCTGGAGAACGAGAATATCATGGCACGTGTCCTTTGGTAAAGATCATGACTACTTAACCGCTGAAGTGGGATGTGATTGACACGTATATAAGTGATTCGGAGGGCCGGTCAGCGTAGGTTTTCTTGTCCTATTTCCTTTTGAGTACTATAAACATTTTTATCTTTTTTTAGTTTTTAACGGAGGTTGTATCTTGGATTCTACCAACAAGCACCTTTGTTAGTATTAATACTAGTACTAGTATTAGTATTGAACCGTACGATGCGCAAATAAATTAATAAAATATTAATTTTATATAATTATGATCTGATATATTATATTTTTTTAAATAAATTTTAGTTGTTATTTTATGTTAAATATAATATGCAGAAATATAATAAAATCTATACAAAATCAAAAGATACATATCATATCGTAATCAAATAATTGTTTGATCCTTATTTATTCTTTATCAAATTAGCAAGTACTTAGTACTATATATTTACTAATGTGACTTTTTATTAACTTGTCAATTGGCTTAATATTTTCATACTACTTCTCTTTTAAAATAACATAGATATATATTTTCTTACTCTGAATTTTTTTTATTTTATTTAAACTTATGTTATACTACTAAAAATTCTTCAATGGTCCAAATTGATCAATAATATTTTGAGTGTTATTTATTTTTATTTTGTTTTTTATTTAATTCAAAATATAAATATCATAAAATCATTTTTATCCCCCTCTTTTGGTACATTCTTTTGTAATATTTGATTAGCTTTCTCATTTGTATTTTACTAAAAATTTAAATAATATAATATTTATTTACTAAATTATAATTTTAAATTCATCAAAAATATAAGGATATAAGCCTTTTATTATTTTTATAAAACACCTGCCAATATTTTTAATATTTATTAATTTGTGTTATATAGTTCTTCCTTTATAACTATTTTTTATTGTGATATTAGTTATGTGTATAAGTAAGACTTTTCTCATCATAATTCTATTTATAAGTCTTTGTCACGACCCAAAATCTCACATGTCGTGATAGCGCCTATCGCTAAACTAGGCAAGCCGACAATCACAAATAACCAAGCATCTTTGAGTTTAAAACATAATGAAATAAGCTTAATAGTGAAAATCTCACAATAAATGATAAAAGGTACCGCAACTAAATCCAAATTCCCCAAAATCCGGTTGTCTCTGAGTATATGAGCATCTAAATGACAACATAGTTTGACTGCTAAACACTGTCTAGAAAGATAGAACAGTACAAATAACTAAAAAGAAGGAGAATTAAGGTCTGCGGACGCTAAGGCAGCTACCTCAATAGTCTCTGAACAGCTAGAGCTCCAAAGCTAGCAACCTCGTGCCCCGAAGTACCTGGATCTGCACACGAAGTGCATAGTATAGTATGATTATAACCGACCAATGTACTAAATAAGTAACAAGACTAACCTTGGGCTGAACGCAATGACGAGCTCAAAAAGGTACAGTCCAAATTCAGACAATAACAGTAATAACTCAGAAAGAAATCCAATAATGAGTTTGTAGACAGTTCAGAAATGTATACATGCTTTCGAGTAATTAACAAATTAAACTCAATACGGATGAAATATGCCAAGTATGACTGATATGAGGAATGCTACATCTCTATATCTACATGTCAATGTTCATGTCACATGTAATGCATCACAATGATGACCTCACGTACTCGCACTCTCAGAGTACTCAATCTGTCTGTCTCAACTCTCACACATCACACTCAGCCACTCAGTATTTTACGCTACATGCGCTCACTGCTGGTATGTCAGACTCCGGAGGGGAGGATCCTGCCCAAGCGCTAATAAAACCTATTGCGCCGCAGTCCGTTCCCATCATGAATCTATAATACCTGCTGCGGCGTGCAGCCCGATCCCATCATGATTCAATAGTACCCGCTACGGCGTGCAACCTAGTCCTATCAATATCACTCACAAACAGGCCCTCGACCTTACTTAATCATCAATCTCTCCAGTCTCTTGGGCTCACCACACTCATGCCAATCAGCCCAAAACAATGATACATGATGTAACAATAAATGGTAACAGAGATTGAAATACGATACGCAAAGGATGAATGCGATTGAGTACATAACTGCAATTTAAGAAAATAATTCAACAGTAAAAGAACGACATCTGTGGGTCCCAAAAGTACCGGCATATAGCCTAAACATATTTTCTAATATAAATCACAGATCAAATTATCTAACACATGGGGTATGTCACGCCCCAAACTCGCGGAGCGCGACCGGCACTCAACCGAGTTAACCCGGTCAAGCAAGCTTGTTAGCTACTTTCTACCCAACTCACCCATGATCAAGAGAAGGCATATTTTCATTAGTTAGACAGTAGAGAGATCATGTATACAATACCAAATCATTCCATTAGTTACCTCATTTTTAATGTCTCAAAATACATGCACTTCCATAGTCTGAAGTGAAACAAGTTATTTACACACAACATGAGTTGTTTGACGTTCCCCAATACCAACATACAACCCACACTATGTCTATGGAGCCTCTAATAAATACAAAAGAGTACAATGAAAGTGCCGGCAACAAGGCTCCGGCTATACCTCAAAACATGAATATATAACAAATAAAAGTAAATGACCCCGGAATAAAGTGGGGCTCACCAAGTCTGCTGGGAGGAGGGTGTACTACTATCATTGATCAATGTTGCCTACTGTGGAACCACCTGCATCCATTAAAGATGCAGCGCCCTCGGCAAAAGGGATGTTAATAATGTCGAATAGTACTAGTATTTATAACTAAACACCATCTCAATAAAATAAATAGTAATATAAGGAGGAACAATCATGAAATCAATAGAAGCCTCTAACAATACCAAAACATCAAGTTAAGAACCACATAAGTTTTCAAGTAAATTTTCATGTTTTTAGGTTGGGAGATCTTTAGTACCATTATACCATCATTCTCAATACCACCGTACCTTTACAGGGAGTCCGATCACGGGCCGATCGGCTAGGCCGACTCATTTGAGACATCAACCACAATCACAACTTCAATTATAATTTCCAGCACAATCACCACCATGCGTGCGGCATGGCGTCCGATCACAGCCCGATCGGCTAAGCCATCTCGCGCGACATTACCTTTTTCTATCAATCATTTCACTTCAGACTTCTTTCACATCTTTTCAATTTATTGGCACTAGTGGCCATAATAATAATGTCATTCTTGGCACTTGGCCGTATTTCAAATTTCATGCTTCCCTTTTTACTTTCACACATGATCATCATTACCAACAACAAGACTTTAGGTACGCATGTGAGCAATTAAGAGTCTTAGACATATAGAGACATTAGGTATGTAATTTTCTATTGGCTAGATCTCTATTAACCATTGCAGAATTAGAGAATTTGTAGGGATAGATACATTTATGAAGAGCTTCAACAGGGGATATTTTACTTGGAAAAAGTTTGTGTTGTCACTATATTCAGAGCTTCAAGAGGCACAGTTTGTATATTGTTTTGCTTTAGAGCCCGTTTGGCTTAGCTGATTTAAAGTAGCTAATAAGCAAGCATTAAGTGCTGAAGCTAATTTATTAAATAAGTAGTTAGGTGTTTGGATAAAAGTGCCGAAACAACTCTGGGAGGTAGACTAATCTTGATCGACTCTGTACTTGATGCCATGCCTACTTATATGATGTCTCTATTTCCAATTCCTGCCAATGTAGAGAATTGATGCATTAAGAAGAAATTTTTTATGGGAAGGTAACAATGAGAAGAAGAAGTTCCATCTGGTTAAATGGAATTCTCTTACTACTAGTAAGAAGACAGGGGGATTGGGAATTAAAAACCTGAGAGTTCAGAATCATAGTTTGATGATGAAGTGGCTATGGAAATTTGCGGCAGATGAGCAACCACCGTGGAGAGAGGTCGTTAGGGAGAAGTATGGAATGGAAGGAAAATGGACAACCAAACCTGTGAGAAGTCCGTATGATGTTAGTTTGTGAAAGTCAATTAGGAATTTGTGGCCAAAAATGATTAACAAGTCCAAATTCAAAGCAGGAAATGGTATGAAGATTTCCTTGTGGGATGACAATTGGCTAGGCTAAGGACCCTGGAAGCTACTTTTTCCTGACATATATACTCTGAGTCAACATCAACAAGCAACACTAGATGAGGCGTGGATTAATCAAGGTTGGAATCTTACCTTTAGAAGACTTTTAAATGATTGGGAGATTGACAGAGTAATAGAGTTTTACAAACTTTGGAGCTATTCAGTGGAATCAACTCTACTCAAGATCTCATCATATGGCAAGGGAATAGGCAGGGGAAGTTTTCTGTTAAGTCTGCTTATAAGGAATTCAACCTTTCTAATAATCAGGTTGGATGTTGGCCATGGAAGATGATATGGAAAGTAAAAATCCCTTACAAGGTTGCTTGCTTTACATGGTTACTAGCAAAAGAAGCGGTGCTAACCCAAGATAATTTAATCAAGAGAAGTTTTCACTTGTGCTCTAGATGTTACTTATGTGGAGAGGAGGCAGAGACAATTAGTCATCTCTATTTACATTGCAAATTCACTGTATAAATATGGAGAATTTTCATCAGCTTAACGAGAATTTTATGGGCAATGCCGGGATGATTACTTGATGTTCTAGCTTGCTGGAATAAAGAGGGCAGTCTTTCTAGTCATAAAGAGAGATGGAGAATTATCCCAGCCTGCATATGGTGGACAATTTGGGAAGAGAGAAATCAGAGATGTTTTGAAGACAAGTCAAGTAACATCCGGAAGACGAAGATAAATGTCTAGCTCTTTTCTATTTTTGGTGTAAAGGAAAGTTTTTTGGGGATCATGAATCCATTTTTGATGTGCTAGATTCCTTGTGAGAAGACCAAGGATTATAAGTGTTTTAATTTTCTTTTTGGGCACTCCCTTTGTTATTATGGGGGACTTCACAAATTTAGTGAAGTCTATATATTAATATACAAATATGTTAAAAAAAAAAGGTGCCGAAACATATAGTAAGCAGCTGAATTGTTAGGTAAAAAATGTGCTGATAAGTCCATTTTTAAAAATAATGACTTAAGTGCCCTTAAAGCTGTTTACACTAATAAGAATTTTTAATTCCAGATTGATTCAAGTACAAAACAATTTATGTCTCATTTTATTTTATTGAAATTTTATTTGTTGCTATTAAATTAAAATATTCGAAGTTCATTGTTTTCTTCACCAGCGTTTCAATGCCGAAAGTTGGTGCAGAATAAAGAATAAGTATGCAGTTCATATTTGATACAAAATACAGAACTTTAAGAATCTGGGTAACATGCAACAAAAGTGACGTATTGTTTCTTGTAAACAAAGAATCTTAAAACATAACAGAGATGAAGAACGATGATTTACAAAATAAAAAACTTTCTTATCCAAATCAATCTTATTACTTTTGACGTAGAAGAGCTTTCGAAGAACCTTGATTGTTCTTGATAATGGCCGGTATTGTTGCTGGATTTTGATAGAAATTGAGGAGTGAAGTCATGGAGCGAGATATGGTTTTATTTCAGTAATTAAGGGTATTTGGGGAACAACAAATAATATTAGGGATAGAATAGTAAATTTCTTTTAAACTAAAAGTGTTTATTATCTGAAAAATCATAATCAAGGAATGACCAACAATGACTTTTGGCTTATTTTAGCTTATAAACACTTGACTTATAAGCCCTTTTAATAATACGATAAGTCAAAAAGTTCTTGTTTGGCCAGCTTATAAGCTTAGATAAACACCCTCTTAAATTGGACCTTAAGAGCTTCAAGTGTTTGGCTACATGAAAATGTTGCACGAGGGTGTGTGCTTTCTCCATTTCTCCCCTAGACTAGATATTTATAACAAATTTTATTATCTTTTGGAACTCATCGATTAGAAGAATTTATTGTGCTAGAGGCTTAGAGCATACGCAAACTCCTAAAAGATATTAATAATAGATGCAATTTCTAATTCCTCCATTTCATCTATGTTCAGTTTTGAGTTTGTAAAATTGATGCTACTTTAAAACTGGTGGCGAATAAATTTTTGTGAGGGCAGTATTTGGAGTTGTTGCTTTTCTCTTCTTGATCCTTTAGTACGTCTTGGCATATTGCATTTGTTGAGTATGTCTTTCAATTTTAGTTGAGCAAAGATTTCTATTTTGTAATGTACTGTAATTTTCATTGTTCCTTGTCATTTTGTTGTCTGCTGCTGCTTGTATAATTTTTACCTCCCCCTTGCCCCGCGCAAAAACAAAAAAGAAATCCGCTATACACTAAGAATGTTCTGGATTGCGTTTACAAAGAAGCGTCCAAACCAGCAGAAGCGCACCTGTTATGCTCAGAGTAGTCAAATTCGTCAGGTTGGTGGTGTTTCTACTTGTTCTGTATTTGGTTTTTTTAAGTTGTCAATCGTTTTCTCATTACTTTTGGAAGCTCTTTGTAATCACTCTTAAAGATGTTGGTCTTGTCAAAATTTTAGATTGGTCGGAAAATGGTTGAGATCATGAGAAACCAAGCAAGTTCATGTGACCTCAAGGAGTTGGTTGCAAAATTCATTCCTGAATCCATTGGTAGAGAAATTGAGAAATCAATCTCGAGCATCTTCCCTCTACAAAATGTTTATATTCGCAAAGTCAAGATCCTTATGGCCCCTAAATTTGATCTTGGCAAGCTGATGGAGGTAAAGTCGGCTTTGTGTTTGGGTTTTTGGTCTTCTATGTTGCTTATGTAGGGGTTCGGGATTGAAATCAGGTTATGAAGCAGCAGCTGTAACAGTAAGTTCTCCTTTTGTTGTAGGTTCACGGAGACTATTCAGAAGATTTTGGTGTGAAGTTGGATAGGCCATCTGAGGAAACAGTTGCTGAGGGAGAAACTGAGGTTGTTGGAGCTTAGACTTGTTCTTTCTGGATATCCCTAATTTTGTTCGAATATGGTTTTGCTCTTCTAGAGTTAGCATTATTTTAGTTGAGGTCCACACATATCAAGATGTGACCTAGGACAATATTTGATGCGTTTCTTTGGTTACACGTTTTGTCATTTACTATATGTCTTTCATCAAGCAGTTAAAATCTCTTTGCTCATTTTTCCCTTTTTCCACATTTAACTTGATGACTGGGTACCAGTACCACCATTATTTCTAATACATGCTTCAAAAGAGAGAAATAATTCTAGTAGCCAAGGATACAATCCGTTGTGTTAAGCCATTGTGTTTCAGTTTGTTGTGATCGCAATACTATCTATCTCCATTATCCCTTTGGTAATGATCTTTCCACAGAAGCTTCTTTTGATCGAATAAGTAGGTGCTCTGGGTAAATTGGATGTGATGCAGTCTTTAGTTAAACTTATTAGATTTTTTCATGTAACTAGTTTCACTTCACATACTTACATTAGGATTCTAGGGATTAATCTTTTGTTTGTAACCTGATGTTACCTCCCTTCCCTTCCGCGTTTCGAATCCCATTCTTCCTTGATCACGCCCAACTATGCCCTATAAAAGGACTAAGCGGTCGTTGCAAATATATTCCGGTTAATAAGTCCGGAGTCGAATCCCACAGGGAATTAACCTATTAAGCATAGCTACTAGACTCGCACAAATTCACGCAATCAATCTTCAAAAATATTTAAGTAACGAATTGGATGTTTACTAACTAAATATTACATAATGAAAATGCAATAAATAATAATTCACTACAAACGGGTTGTAGACAAGAATTGGAATGATCTAAGGTTATGATTTCCCCTATTGTCGGATCCTTTCCGCTACGTTTTCTATAAATTTTCCTAAGTCTTCTCTACCGATCATGAGCATTCTGACTGTCGTAACTCTCTCCCGAGTAATTACCACAATATACGAGGCATATTCTCCCGAATTACGCTAGCTGACCTTAAGTATTGCTCACTATCACACTAAGGTTTCGTTATCCCTAATCCCACCTTTAAACCCTTCGTATTGATCCCTCATATACGTTAGGAGTGATGTTGTTCAACAACTACCTAAATATGCACTCTCTCCCGAGTGATGCACACTAAATAGGCACAGTCGATTGAGGGCCCTTCAATCAACAACAATAATAATATAGTTGAACAAATAGAGAAAATACTACGGCAAATCTATATTAACGCAACAAGAAAGTCATCCTCCAATAGGTTCCATCAAAACCCTAGATTAGGAGTTTAGCTACTCATACTCATAGCAACAATATCCAAAGTATTTTGCATAATTAAAATACAAAGTAAAGATGAAAGGATGTAGAAATCAATGATTCTAACTCCCAACGGTTGTTCCACGAGCTATGCTTGCCTCTGGTTGCAAAAGTCATTCAAAGTGGCGTTTTTAGGTCTATTTATATGTGTAGGAAAAGACCTAAACGTGTAGGTCAAGTCCTAGTCAAACCAGGAGACGAAACAAGTCTTCAAAACTCGAAATGTGCACGCCCAGACCTGGCCTCGCGAGGCATAACGCCTGGTGGACCTCGCCTCAAACCCGGCGTCGCCAGGCATAACGCCTGGTGGACCTCGCCCCAGGCCTGGCGTCGCCAGGTATAAAGCCTACTTGAGCTCGCCTCTGCCTCGCCTCGCCAGCTCCTACGCGAGCTAAGGGCCTGGCGTCGCCTGCCCTAACGCCTGCTTTAGGCCTGGCGTCGCCTGCTCTAACGCCTGCTTTAGGCCTGGCTTCGCCAGCTCTCTCCTTTTCACTGTTCTCGAGCACACTTTCAACGTTTAAGTATCCCTTTTGCTCTACTTTCATCTCCAATTCACCTACACATAAAAATAGACTCCATTACGTGCAAATAAAGTGTAATTTATCATTAAAGCATATAAAATGCAAGGCACATAATGTATGAAACTATGGAATTAAAGCCACACATCATTCCTCTTATTAATAATTTACCTAGCGAAATAGGTTAAATTTCATGAGCTAATAGGCTGAATATTTTATTCAAGTCTTTTATTGTATAACATTAGTTGCAATGCTCAGAGACGGAAATAGAATTTTTAAGACATGGGTGCACTACTGAAAAAGCGAGAAAGAAGAAGTTCTAACTGAGAATTGATCCATGTTCTAATATTCCTTTGGAGTGCACCATTCGAACCTTTTGAAGCATGGAGGTTAGCAGATAATATTAGATCAATTTTATGAAATATATACATAAATATCTAATTTGGCAGAAAGATCATAAGTTCATGTGCAGCGTAAGAGCGGCCTAAATCCGCCCCGGCAATCCTCATAAGAATAGTCCATGAGCGGCGAACCGTCTTTGAAGGTGATTACTGATAATTTGAGCTAATGACTCAGGTCTTTATGCTCACAATCCCAACTTGGTTTGGATGAAAATTGGTTTTAGTTTTATGTTTTCTTCTTATGTTACATTTTAGCCTATGCCGTTAAAAATAACTTTTTTGTAAGGATTTTCTTAAAACGAAAGTGCTAATATTAATTAAGAAAAAGAGGGTACTATTAGAGAGGTCAAATTGGTCAAACTGTAATTCTTTTGCATTAGCGATAAATAGTTTAAAATAATTATTATAAATTAATAAAACAAGCGGGGAGGGAAGCATAATCGCAAACCATAAGGAATGTTAATCCTATGGAGCCAATTATGAACGAAATTCTAATTTGAATTATGTAGAAGTTAATAAAATTTAGGATTACAAAATTGGTTAAGAATTCAATTTATTAAATCCTTCTTTATTTGAATTAGTAGGAAACCAAAAAAAAAAAAAAATTAGTTAAGAAATTAAGGGAAGGAATAAACGGCACATGAACATACTATGAAGTAAGGAATAGAGTGTTTGATGCTCAGTATAGGTTAGATTACTACATAAGGATCCCCATAGTAGGCTGGATTGCCAAGTTGTTCTTACATAAGCCTAAAACAAAATAAAAATGGAGTAAATGATAAGTTGTTTAAGGTGATAATATTAGAAGCCACCTCAAAAGTTGGAAGATCAGTAACAAGCCCCTCAGCAATACCTGTACGGCTGTACCTGCAACTTTTGTTTACCTATCGTTATACCAAATGATATTTTTCGCCTAATTTCATATGAGATTCAATCATCAAGTTGAACTTTCTTGTTATACAATTGGGTATTTTATGAATTGCAAATCATATTGTATACACCATGCCAACCTCCAAAAGAGCAGCATGAGGGATATTCAATGCAACTGGATGCTCTCGGCAGTTCTTGTCCAGAAATACATACGCCATGACAAGGAATTGCTTCATATAATTCGAGCCCTTGCGAACTGATAAATGTGATTGACCAATGAAATAAGCAGTGCCACTTTCCCTGGCATCAACAAGTTCTTGGAGTTCTTTCCTTAGCGATGGATTCATTTTAGGACTACTTGGAGGCAACATGAATCGAACTTTCTTCTTTTTCGCACTGGCTGCTGGTGATGGATCGAGCAATGGGCTTCTTTGAGTTTCAATATCTGCCACAGATACAGCAGTTTCACTGTGATCGGATCCTGCAGGCACTGCAATCAGTACATTTCCTTCAGTTACTTGGCTTCCCAAAAGGATCATCCTGCCCTCTGGTGAAGTAAATGTTTCATGATCTCCATCCTCTCGGGCAATGAATTCGCCTATTGAGCTAATAATCTGATCCTCGAAATCATCAGTATCCCTTACATTGTCACGATATCCATATCGAACAATGCAACGATAGATTTTATATTCCTTATGGCCAATCCGGCCAATGAGATATCGTCCATTTTGTGAAACATGTGGCACTGGCAAAGACTTGAAGGACACAAAGATCAGCACCTCATGAAATGCAGGAAGGTTGGTAATGAAGTGGGAGAAGAAAGCAGGGATTCCTGCTACAATATCGGTATAAATGAACCCAATGCCTGGCACTCTAGAAACTCCAAGGCCAGGGCTAAGGTCTGTCAGCCAATTGACCGCCACCTTGTTCTCTACGTCAAATTTATACTTTTTTACAGTACCATAGTGCCAAGAGATCATGATTATCATGAAAATCGATGATAAAACAAGAAGACACCAAGCTCCCTTGAAAAAGTTCAAGAAACATGAGGAGAGGTATATGGCCTCAATGGAACCAAAGAATAACAAAAAGAATGCAGACAGAAACACAGTCTTCTCCCACTGTAGTGCTATTACAAGTGACATAAGGCAAGTTGTCACTAGCATTCCACAAATAATGGCTAAACCTGAGAGAAAATTAATAAAAAATTCATGAAAGGTTATGACGAGTGCATAAATCTCTACTTTGCACAGAACCCCCATTCTTAACAAAGTGAAACTGCTGTAGCAGTCATGTAATTAATTACCTTTACTACATGTTTACTTCAGAAATGAGAATAGAATTGAGATCATTGTATGAAGGCATACCTGTAGCATTGCCTAGAGCGGATATGTCATGGAAACCAATCAAGATTGCCAGGCTAAGGACCATGAGTATCCAGTTTGAATCAGGAATATAAACCTGTCCATGTATTTTATCTGATGTGTGGATGACTTTTACTCTGGGGAAACAACCAAGTGCTTGGCACTGGTTTATGATGGAAAAACTTGCCGTAATGGTTGCTTGGCTACCCACGAGGGAAGCAAAAAGGGACAGAACGGTGAAGACATGCTGAAGGCCAACTGAGATTTCCATGCATAAAATTGAGGATTAGACATTTGTAACAGCATAAAGGCATCGCCATGACAGCTAGAAAACAGTTAAATCAAACTTACTAGAAGGAAGAGATTCACTAAGATGAGCAACATCATCTGACGTTCCTAAGTGGTGGGAAACGAAAGCTGCTTGACCAGCATAACACAAAACAAGGGCTGGATATATCAAAAAGACAAAAGTGACCTGCGAACAAGGCATCGTGTGAAAACTTTATCTCCTCTGTCATGCAAGAACCGTGATGTAAGAATTTCATACTTACCTTGATGGATCTCTTTGAAAAATGACCTAAATCGGCAAACATTGCCTCTGAACCTGAAGAATAGCAGGACTTATATATCAAGAGACTTTTATTTCTTGGAGTTAGGAAACCACGGAAATGATTGGAAAAGCTTGGACATCCAATGCAAGCGAAATACAGTATGTGGATATAACTAACCCGCTATGCATAAGACAATGCTGCTTAGAAGTTTCCAACTTGTGATGTCTATTTTCTTAACGAACCTAAACATGTATGTTGGAGATATCGCACTAAGGATTTTGGGATAGCAGATGATATTGTACAGACCCATGCCACTGATAAACATGAGCCATATAACGACAATTGGAGCAAAGATGAAGCTGATTTTGTTGGTCCCATACCGTTGCAACATGAAAAGGGAAACCAAGATGGCACATGCTGCAGGAACTGGTAAATCTGAAATAACATTTCAAGATATTGGATGCAGTGTCATAAAAGGACATACCGGCCTTAGTTTAAAAGAAAACAGACAATATTCAAAATTTAACACTTGGAACTTCATATTTAACATGGAAGCTTAAAAGTAACCACACTTACATTTCGTTAAATACTTGTCAACCGAGTGTCTTGTGTTCTCTGAAGAGTTAACTGATTAGATTGGCATAAGAAAGTTTCAGTCCCAAGCACTGAATATTGATTAGAAATCATAAAAGCAAACATAAAGTCTTTATGCCGACTATAATCCAATTCTTACATTGATATACCAATTTTGATAATGAACGTCTGAGAGTTGATGTTGCCGATAAAACTAAAATAACAACAGAAAAGAAAAAAAAAAACAGTTAGGCAAGCTTGTGTCTCGTCATGTTAAATTAGGAGGTCATCTGCAAACCAACCCAACCACTCTCAAGTAAATTAAGATGATAGTGTTATACCTAACCTGAAATAGCAGGCGTAAAAACTCCATCACAGATTATCATACAAGAACCAAGCAAAGCCAAAAACAACAGCAAGTAATGGCTGCTTTTGTGTTTTTCAATTACCCTTCTAGCCCTTGAGTCCGCTTTCATCTTAGAAGCAGTTCGTTCCTCGTGATGCATAATCTCAGTAGCACTTTTATCACTTGGAAGCAGCCCTACCTTGGCATGCCTACAAAGTAGGGAATACAACGCGAATGTACCACCTGCAAGGATCAATTAGCTTTCAGAGATATAACTAACTATTCACATTTGACTTGACCGAATTAATCTCAGCCGAAGATTTTGAATTACCTTCTCCACCATCATCAGCCTTCAATACTATAAAGGCATATTTCAACAAGGGAATGATTGTCAAAGTCCAAAAAGCAAAGGAGAAGAGTTCATATATCTGCTGATCAGATTTGACGTTGTGAGGATGAATCGATCCAAATGCATACAAGGGGGTGGTACTTAAGCGACCATACACTACTCCGAGGGTTTGAAATGATAGCAGAATCGTGCGCCTCCATGTCTCTTTCTACAAATTCAACAATCACATTAATAAGTTCTTCAGTTAGCATAGTGCAGCTGAACCCATATCAACTCTTAATATACGGTGAATTTAACATTCAATAATGAATTTCAACAACTGAACCTGCAAAATGGTGCAATTAACCATAATCACCTAAAACCAAACTCCCTTGTCGCTATTTTTTTTTAATTTTTTGTGCCCTTCCTGTCTACTAAAGGAAGAACTACTCGATCTTCCCTTGTTCTTATTCAAAACTTCAGTTGTTGATGGGTCTCAAAATTTTTACAGATCAAATAAAAAGTCACAGAACACCTCAATCAATTTTCTTTCCTTGTTAAAAGCTAGACTGCTAAATTGGACTGATACTCATAAATTCTCCACATTTATAAAGAATTCCGACAGCAAGTTGCAATTCTCATTAATCAGTGCAATTAATGGTACAAAAATATTGGGAACAGAGCACGATGAGGTAATAAATTACACCAAATGACAGAACTCATCTTTCTTTCTTTTTTTTTTTTCCATTGAGAAGCAAGCCCTTATTACCAAACGCTTGTCTTTACGAACTAGTTCTCTTCCTTCAAACAGAATTAAATGGGCTGAAAAAAGGGTTGCAGCAAACAAACCTTACTCCCATAAAGGATGGACACAGAGCTGAGTGAAGGATCCATAGCTTGAGAAAGAACAAAGTAGAGAGAAACCTAGCAGAATCTTGACAAAATTTAACTTGAAAATGTCATACTCAAATGGCGAAAGGTACAACAAGAATGAAAACGATGGAGTAGCTGTTGAAACAAGAAGACTTGTGAGACGTTATAAACGAAGTTGAAAGATCTAAGAGTGTTGAGCAAAAGGCGGAGTAGGATTCATTTTTATAAGTGACTGACTAGATTACAAAATGTGCACACTTGTCATGTGCCTAAGATCTTCTTTGTAGTTACAGAAAAGAATTTTTAGAACAAGGTAATTTAACGCTTGAATGATGCCATATCACACTTCATTTGTCGAAGCGACAAGGAACCGTCAATTCTGAGTGTGTTATATATATATATATATATATATATATATATATATATATATATATATATATATATATATATATATATATATGTGTGTGTGTGTGTGTGTGTTTTTTTTTTTCAAGTAGAGAAGAAAAATTTCTGTGAGAAGTGAACTTATTAAATTTTATTTTTAAATATATATGTCGAAGTTGGGATTCGTGGAAGGGAAGGAGAGCTGATTTTGGAATTGCACCACATGGCTTTCCGTTTGGTTTGGACAGAAAGTGTTTTAAAGTTTAAACTATGCACATGTGATGTTTGATTAATTGACTTAATGTGTTTCCATTTTAGTTTATCTTCTTATTGTAATTGCTTTATGCTCTAATTTAAGGCCTTTAACTGAGATTTTAATGATCCAATTAGTAATTTCGAAAATTCCGTCCTTTTCAAAGTCAAAGTAATCAAGAGACATACTTTCTTTTTATGGAGATAAAACACATCCTAAAAAGTCTCATCTTATGTTAAAAATAATCTAGAGAGAATAATCAAGAGAATAAATAGAACTATATCCATAAAGACTCAAGAATAAAATTAATTTTCTTTTAAAAAAAAATTTATCCAACTTGTCAAATAGAGTTATTAAAAGAGCAAGGCTTCCTACCTAGTGTTTTCCATCATTTATTGATTCTGTTATATAAATGGAAATTTGTGATTATCGTATGAAATAATGTTCAAATTTTAGTGTGTATTATATGAAATGGTTCCATTTCGCTTTCTGCCGTACAGTAAGGCCCCGTGAAATTTTTACTCAAAAACCCGAAATCTCGTAGTGCCAAGTTAAGAATATGTATTAGAAATTTATAAAGCTCGCCACGGTTCGAACCTTTTGGATTGATCAGTGCATTAAAGAGTTAATGAAAAATATTTTTTAGAAGAGCGCATTTATGCGGCCCATTATGCGGCCGCATAATAGCAATGCGGGCCGCATAACTGCCGCAGAGTGAGACAGAATGTGGGCTAATTTTGAGGACACAATGCGGCCAATTATGCGATTGCATAATCGATATGCGGGCCGCATAGTCGTTGCATGACCTCCATGGGATTTTTGTGAAGGGCAGTTCTGCGGCCCATTATGCGACCGCAGAACAGGTATGCAGACCGCATATTGGTCGCATACCCGGGCAGAATATTCAAGTCTGAGGGCCACTTTTGCGGTCCCTTTTGCAAGCCGCATATCAGTTATGCGGTCGTATGCGACCGCGGATTGAGTCGGGGCTCCTATTTTTTAACTTTTAAAACCCGACCCCATTCCGTTAAAAATACCCCATTAGACCCTCTTGCTATTTTCTACTACATTTAGAGTGAGAGAAAGAGTTCTAGAGGGAGGAAGTGATCCCCACCAAGTCACTACCCAAATCATTGAAGATTATCAAGTAAAGTTACTAAGCCTTCATCTTAAAAGGTAAGAACTTGTGTCCTAACCTTTGATTTCGAAATTCCTACTAAAATGAGTAATTAACAAGTGGATTTATGGGTATAAGGATTAATTATCTTGCAAGCATGTATGATAAGAGGGTATGGGGAGATTGTGAGCTAAAAATGTAACAAATGGTATGTAGATTAATAGAATCTCTCATAAAAAGGTCCTAAAATCACAATGCACACTTAGTGCTTGATAATGTGCCCAAATGAGTTAGAATCTTGATTATCCCTCTAATTTTTGGTTCAACTTGTAATTATCATAAAATAGATCGAAATTGCTAGGAGTTCCGGAATTATTGTAAGAATTTAAGGAAAGCTCTATTGAGGTATGTATGGCTAAAACCCCCTCTTCTTAGAAATTGAGCTCATTTGATGTCCATGCAAATGTTGTTGGTCCAAAAATTGATTGATGTATTGTTTGTTATTTCAAATGAATTGGTGTTGCAAAAATATATGTGGAATGTGTGTCTCAATGTGTTTAATATGTTGTTCTTGGTAAATTGAGGATGTGTAAAGAATGTGAACTATGTGCTAAAATGCCTAGATTTCAAGTCAAGTTTAAACTGTGATTATTATGCCGACTATGTGAAATCCTCTCTATGCTTACAACTTGAATTGCTCTCGTATGTGCCCATTATGTTAAATTGCAAAATTAATGTCGAAAGTGGGAATGATGTGAAATGTAGGGGAAAAGGATTTGAGTTATGAAATGTGGCCTAGTGCCAAGTATGATGTGATAATTGTGGTCCCAAGTGCCGATGAACTGATATATGTGAAACGAAAATTGAAGTGAGATGATTGATGGAAAAGGGAAACGTCTTGGTAAGACAGCTTAGCCGATCGGGCCGTGATCGAACGCCATGCCGCACACATGGTGGTATTGTGCTAATATTAAAACCGGAAAGTGAGAATGAAATTGTGTTGAGGTACATGTCTCAAATGAGGCAACTTAGCTGATCGGGTCGTGATCGGACTCCGCTCAAGAAAGCAGTGGTATTGTGAATGATGATGCAACAATATGAAATGTCCCGACCTAAGGTTATAGAAATTATGTGAAAGCTATGTGATCTCTTTTATTTGATGATGTGGTGATTATTTAAAGCTTTTGTTAGTCCTTATGATTTCTTTATTCTTGTATGGTTGTTCTTTATAATGAGATGGTGTTTAGTTATACATACTAGTACTATTCCATGGTACTAACGTCCCTTTTGCCGGGGGCGCTACATCTTTGAATGGATGTAGGTGGTTCCATAGCAGATAGTGCCGATCATAGGTAGCGGAGCATCCTCCTCTCAGCAATCTTGGTGAGCCCCTTTTCTTCCAAGGGTTATGTAGTGTATCTTTTGTTATAAATTACCACTTTTTGAGGTATAGCAGGCGGCCTTGTTGCTGGCATTATCATAACCGTCTTTTGTATCTTTAGAGCCTCCGTCGACGTTTGTGTGGGTTATGTACGGTCGATGGATGGGTCACTGGACTATGTTGTAATTCTAAACTCTTGTTCTTCTAAACTGTAACTGTATAAAATTTTGGAAACTTAACTATGGTTTAAGAGTTGTAATATAAAATGAACTAGCAATGTTACATGTACGATCTTTCCGACTGTCTAAATAAATGAAAACATGGTTTCTTGATCATAGTGAGTGGGATAGAAAGTGTCTAAAAAGGCTTGCTCAGTTGGGTTCACTCGATTGAGCGCCGATCACGCCTCCCGAGGTTGGGGCGTGACAAACTTGGTATCAGAGCCTAAGGTTTTAAAGTGTCCCATCTCGGAGCCGTGTCTAGTAGATTCCTTCTTATCGGTGTGTAGTCGACCATATCTATAAGTTGGAGGCTACTTGGGCATTTAGGAATGACACCCTTCTTTGATATTTTGGATCGTGAGGCAAAACTTGTTATGAAACCATTCCTCCTCTAACTAGTGCATTCCTTCAACTTTCAGTACGTGGCACCTAAGAAGAAAGCAAGAACTGGCCAAGGAGCCAATGTTGCCCTAGGAGCGGCAGTCGATTCCGTAATTGATGATGCGGGTGAGAACCCGAGGGGTGAGGACATTCCCCCGACTACTATACTGCCCGGTTCCACTACACCAGTTCCTACATCTGCTGAGGGTGCTGCTATCCCTCCCACTGATGTTCCTGTTCCGCCTCCAGCCCAGCTTCCGATTCCGGTATTTCTGATGGGGATCTTAGGGGAGCTATCTGGATGCAGACTCAGCTAGTGGCCTCTCAGGCCCAGAGGTCAAATGTTGTACCCAGTTCATCTAGCCAGCAAGGGGATTCCACCAGTTCTAGGGTGAACAAATTTCTTCAGCTAGACCCTCCAGTGTTTACGGGTGCAAATCCAGAAGAGGACCCCCATGATTTTATTGATGAGATGCACAAAACCCTCAGGGTTATGCGTGCAACTAAGACAGAGAGTAGAGTTGGATGCCTACCATCTGAAAGGGGTGGCCTATTCATGGTTTGAGTTATGGGAAGATTCCCGTGAGGAGGGGAGCCCTCCGGCGAGGTAGAGCGAGTTTGCCGACGCCTTTGTATATCATTTCCTGCCTGCTGAGACAAGGGCAGCCCGTGCAGCAGAGTTTGAGAATCTAAAGCAAGGTAGCAAAAGTGTGTGGGAGTACCACATGGAGTTTGCCTGCCTGTCCAGGTATGCTATTCACGTGTTGACCACAATGGAGGCCAGGGTGCGCCGGTTTGTTCAGGGCCTTAATCCTTTAACTATTAATGAGGCTTCTACATCTGCCTTGAATTCTGACATGAATTATGGGAAGATGATGGCATTTGCTCAGGCCACAGAGAACCGTAAACTGAAGAACAGGATGGAGAGAGAGGGTAGCAGCAAGGCCCGGTCTACGGGCAACTTGGGAGAGTCACTAGGTGGGGGAAGATCAGCTTTTAGGGGAGGATCATCAGGGCCGTCCCAGTCTGTTGTATAGTCTTCAGCCAGTGCACCACCATCAGGGCCCAGCCAGCAGCAGAGGTCACCGTGCCCCAGGTGCGGGAAGGTGCACTTAGGGATTTGCTTCATGGAGTTACCTATTTGTTATGGATGTGGGATGAGGGGCCATATTCAAAGACATTGTCGTGTATCCCGCCAGGGTGCGGGTAGGGGCACAGCACAGCCATCTAGTCCAGCAGCTGCTACATCTTCAACACCCTTTCCAGCACCCGCAGGGCGTGGTACAACTAGGGGTGGTGCGCAGAGTTCAGGAGAACCCAGCCGGTTTTATGCTATGAGTGGTCGTCAGACTGCAGAGGCTTCTCCAGATGTTGTTACAGGTATTCTGACTGTCCAATCTCATGATGTGTATGCACTTATTGACCCCGGTTCCACCTTGTCCTATGTTAACCCTTATGTTGCTATGGAATTTGGGATAGAACCGGAGCAGCTTCATGAGCCATTCTCGGTGTCTACTTCAGTTGGTGAGTGTATTACGGCTGCACGAGTTTATAAAGGTTGTGTTGTTACGGTGCGTGGTAGGGATACCATGGCCGATCTTATTGAATTGGGGATGATTG